GTGCTGCTACAATCGCATTAAGCGCAACGGATAACCAAGTTTTTTAATTGAAAAATTTAAATAAATTTTTCTGAAATATTCCACTCTAAGGGAACAAATTTCTTTACAGAAGTAATAGAATTTAGTAGCATTTTTAATTGAATTTAACCAGTAAATTTATAAGAATAAATAGAATTTTAGAAGGTTCGGTTTAAATTTGTAAATAAAGATGTGAGTTATGGTTTTTTTTATAAAATAAAAGAACGGATTTACAAAATTCAAAGATAAAAGTACTATTTTAGTAAATAAGTGGAGATGGGATTTGATTAAACCCTGGTTGATTAAATGATAATTTTAATACAAAAATTCGCGCGTGATTTTTTTTACAGAGCAATCTGACCCATTTACCCCGCCGTGAATACGTCCCGGGCGTGGGAACGGGTATTGCGAAGTGTCCTTACGATCCTGCGGACAATTCGACCGCTGTGTGGGTGGAAAAGGGCAATCCTGGTGACTTGCCAGCTCTTTATTCCGGCACCAATGCCGAATTCACGAAAGCCGATACCGTAATCTTCCGCACGGATCTCTACAATTTAACCACCGGTCGCAAGGAATTCAACTTTAAGAGGACGCTGAAGTACGACTCGAAATGGCTAGACAGTAAGTACCCACCCACTCGACTATTTCTTCTTTCGTTCTTGAATTAGTAGTCTTGTCTCTTACAAACCTTTACACCTACCAACCCTATGTGCCCTCTTACTCATCCACAATTACAGATTTAAAACTATCCATTAACTAAGTTGTAAATTTAAAAAACAGACTTTGTACTTTTTTAGTTCTATCTACATCTATTTCAGTATATCTAGCCGAATTTCACTGTCGCAAAATTCAAAATTTTTATGAAGTTGTTCTTTTCTCTTTAGAAGAAACGACTCATACAGTTTACAACTTACTACTTCAAGTTCGAGAACGTTGGAAAATAAAATTGAAACTTCCTTAGAAACTTTGCACTGCCATGTTCCAATTATACAATTTTTAGTTCAGAAAGGATTATCTCTGCAACCAGAAAATCAGAAATGTATTATTTAAGCGTAACCAGTAACCCTCATATCAACGTACACATTCGATTACCGACCCCTAAACAGAATGATGTCTGAATCGTTTTCCCGTCGACCAGGAAACATTCATTAGGACCCAAATCCTAGGTATTCCTGTGAAAAAACGTAGGGAACCGAACGGAGACGAAAGCCTTCTCGTTACGCGAGACCCTTTGAAGCCGGAAACGTTGCAAGAAACACGTACCTCGCTTAAATAGTTGCGTATAAAGCCGATACCGCCATTCTGACTGGGGGTTGAGGGGTTGACAGCTTCGTCTTTAAGCGCGTCGAGGGTTTCCACGCGGAACCTGGGTAAAAAAAGGTTCCGCCGTGACACGGGGAAGATAGAAAGCTGTTCTCGGAGGGCGACTTGTCGACGAAATGCTGGCAGGCTTTGCAGGGGGTGTCGGCTCTAAGAAAGCGGACTAATAAAATAACACCCCGGGAACAATTTTTGCCGAGCTAAATGCTCCGTCCTTCCCCGACTGGGAGAAGGGTCGAGGAAGTCGAAGTTCGTTTTTTTCTCCATCGTTTCCACCGGGAACCAGCCCTTTTTTGTATCAGCCTGTGTACAGGGTAGACAGTCTTTAATCAGTTTCATCGGAGTCGTGATCAGCGAGAGCCACTGTTGTCGTCCATTCGATTTTTCGTTACCGCGTGCGTAACTCCGGGTCGGAATTCAACGGGTGAAATTGGAAAATTGAGATTAGAACGTGTTCCGGGTACCGAATTGCGGCGCTCGAGCCACGAATCGATGGCTCGGTCGAGGTTTCCATTGCTTCGATCGCTCGAGCGAGTGTTTTTTATTGTTTCCCTCACGGTGAAATTGGAACGAAATTTTTGCGAGAAATTAGTGAGAGAATTATTGAAACACTTGTGACTTGTTTTCGTTATCGATAATATTCATTGCTACTGCGTAAAATGTTGCTGCTAAATATTGAAAATTTCATTGGTCACGAAATAAATCAGAGAGCATAAAGTCGATTAAAAATATAATTCCACTTTAGCCACAAATAAATTAAAAAAATTTTTAGTTTATCTCACTACAAACACAATTATGTTCAATTAATAAACCAATATTTCTCATTTCCATTCGCACCTTATAATACGCACTATTCGCCCACAGGGTCCCACGAACACTTACTCGATACTCAGTTATTCCCTCTTTTCTATTCCGCGACATAGCTCAACGGCATCGCAAAACCCTGCGAACCTTGACTCCGCCCGACGATCGCTCATTCCAGACGCGCGAAGCAACAAAGAAATCCGGCTCGGCTCGGCTGCCGGATGATACAGTGGAATCATAAATCCCCGGCGAAGTTGTCAATTAATTCTACCTCCGTCCGGTGTATCCTGCTCGCGGTAATTCTCCAGCGCGCGGGGTGCGAAGGGAGGGGCGGATGGGTGGGCGCTCACAGCCGTGGCACGAAATAATAGCGGCGCATAGAGTGAAGTAGTTGCCTTATATTTCTCAGGAGGGTGCTGTTTTCCGCCCTCGGAAGCGTGCCGGGGTTCGACCTCCACTTCGGCGGTCGGAAGAAGCGGGACAAGACGAAAGGAGACCGACCCCATTTTGTATCTTGCCAACCCGTCCTTCTGCCCGTTGGTCCCCCACCTTTCCCGGGGGATGCATGATTAGCCGTTTGTTTCGTCGTTTAATTTGAAGGCGGCGCCCTTTTCAACCCCCTGCCCTCTATCCCCGACACCGCGTCCCCGTGTATCCGTGCCGGGACGTTACCATCAAGAGCCGTACCGGAGTTTGTCTATTAACAGAGGCGTTGATTAAATGCAGGAGAGACGGCGGAGAGACGGATAAGCTCACGTGCCTCCTAGCGCGCTCTCTCACCCGTTCCCTCGCCGTCCTACCTACCACCCTCGACAGACACCCTATGATTTCATTGGACTGGCTTCTCTCTCTCGTTCTCTCCTCCTGGAACGACGTCGCCTCTAAAGTATGTAGAATGAAGATTGATTGCGATTTGCGGGCCGAGTGGGGGTGGGGTGAAGCGCCATGAGGATAGTGGCGGGCGGCGACGGGGTAAGACGATGGAATAAGAGTGCGGCCGGGGATTAACAAGCGCTGAATAACCGGCCGGCCACTTTCACGGATCCTTGCGCTTGTCAAATGACGCTCCGCGTTCATTTGTTTCCTCGCGCGGGACTCCTCGTGCGCATTGATGTACTCTTCGCGTGGTTTGGCGCGTCGGAAGCCCGTTAAGGGTGGAAAGGATACTGATTTATGGTTCGCGCGATGTTTCAGGGGATTTTTGACGTCGCTGGGTGGTTTGAATTCAATTTTTAAGTAAACGCTGCTTGGAAATAGATCAGCAACTGACAGAACAATGTGTCAAGTGGATTGTAAAATTGAATGTTTACTTGCATTTGGGGGATGTATAATTGAAGGGATTTAATTATCGTGGAACGAATACATTTTTATGCGATGGGTAGAAAAGTCGTTTACTGGATTGTTTCTCTTTTACCTGCGTGAAGTAACTGCCCATAAATTTTAGATTTCTTTTAGATTGTTTCCAATTTTCATAGGAAATGAGTTTTTCCAATTCGCGGCAGTAGTTCTAAGAATATACAGCATTCATTTGGAGAACAGTAAAATATACTGTAGACGAGTTATGAAAGAATTTTTTTCTGTAAATTCGAATTGCTTTTAAAATGATCCTGTTAACATTTGGGTTGACGAAATAGAAGTAAAATAAGCCGTCATCTCCTCAGAAAGTCTTATTTCCAATTTCAATCAAATGAAAAACATAATATATGTCGTTGTAAACTAACGATTATCTATTTTCAAATTTCACATTTCTCATAATTCAGTATTCGCGACATTAAACGTTTAATTCCATTTTTCATCGAACCAAAATAATATTACTTTTAATTAATAATTTAAAAGTTCGGTTAGCTCACAAATGCAATGAAATCAGAGGAAATAATAGGAACTCATGCAGAATTCACTTATTTATTCATAGAATTAACCCCACTCCCTACCAATTAAATATTTTATCCAACGAATCTGTTCCCAAAGCATTCTATCTACAGTTTTCCATATTAATTATCCATATTCATTGTACAACGTTGCGTCTCCTATACGTCCGAAATCTGTACAGCGCAATCTGTATAACCAATCCCTAATTAAAAAACTTTCTTCACACACCGAAGTCTGGTTGCATTTGCGCCGCGAGTATTAGACGCTGAAGTTTCTTGTATTGTCAGGCTCGCTGCTCCGGTTTACCCGTAGCCCTCCCTCCCCGGAGGCCATGTATAACGACAAAAGCGACGGCCAGACGACAAGTCTAATTGAGTCTACGAAACGCGAATCTTCGCGCTGAAGTAAACACCTTCGGCGGCGCAAAGTTTCTCGAAAACTTCGTCGAGCCGGTATCGTGCGCGAAGCGAGGTTCCACGGAAAAAGATTGACACGGTCAATTTAGTAATTCCGCGGAGGCGTACGCGCGGGACCGAATATTAAACAGTCGCGACTAATTCGGCGTATTTATTAACGAGGCGCCGTGTTTAATGGCGGACGCGGGCGCGAGGGACTCGCGGAAAATAGAATTTCATATTTGTACGCGAGCGCGGCGGTCTAGAAGCCAGGGACGCGAGCACCCGTCCCCGCGACTTGTAAACTTCATGAAACTAGCCCCAAGGGTGATTTCATTATTCCTCCGGCGCGAAACGCGAAATCGAAAGTGCCGCGAAAACGCTTTTCGCCCTCTGCGTGTACGATACCGCGTCACGGACGCCACGCCTAACGGGGGCACATTTTCAACCAGCACACGCCGATTTGGATGAAACTTGCGTGAAACATAGTCGTCAAGCAAATATTGGTCACGTATTTTTTCTTATTGACCAGCATCCATTTTGAGTAGATGAAAACAGCGCTCAAAGTTGAGGGTTGAAAATGTGTTCTTTACTATTTCCTTCAAACCACGGGGTGTGGGACAGAATTTTTGTTTAAATTGTCTGCCTCGAAATGAACAATTTGGATTTCTTTAGGTATTTCAAAAAGATATCGATAACTTTTGAATTTTAGATAGTATAAACTTAACACTAGAAGTGCCGAGTACTTAATATGATCAATATATAATTCTCATAAGAATTATAAGATTACATTTTTTAATTTCCGTGGATGATCATTACATTACACGAGTGGAACTATTAATATTTAAAATAATTTTCAATATTTAACGCTTCTCTGTTATGAATAGTTGCAAATTAAAAATATTAGAACCAATCATTTTAATTGGTACCTTAGTTCTAGTTAAGATCAACACTACTTTTATTTGTTCCTAACTCGTTAGCATTATGTTACACATATATTTGAATTAATGGCTGTGAAGAGATATACTGCTTAAACATTAGAACGAATTTTCGGATAGTATATCTCTCTTTTACAGATCGTTCCACTACAATTGAGCTGATCTCTGTTCCCGAGTCGAGACACTTCCGTTTCCTGTTCCCTCTCGATCCCCAATTCCCTGTCCTCGGCCCGCCTATCGTCTCCCTCTTTTACCTTCTTCCCTCCGACCCTTTTCCTTTCGCCCGTTGCGCCTCAATATATCAAACTTCCACCGGCGGAGCGTCAGACAATCGATTTAATCGGTGAACTGTAAAAGAGATTGCAGCCTCTTCCTCGAGCCACCGCATAACGTAAAATCGGCAGAGACTGTGCCCTTCGCACGGCGCGATTTAAGCGCGGAGAAAATTCGATTTCCGTCTGCGTCGCGGACATCGCGCTTCGTCGTTGTTTTTCCGTGGTCCGCCGCCTCGGATCGGCTCGATTTTAATCGAAACGATTAGTAGCCGAGGGGAAGATCGGGATTGAGGGTGGTATTTGGTCGCTTTGAACTGATTGTATCGTTTTTTATGTAATTTGATGGTGAGGTACGAGTCACAGAAGTATTGTTTTATTATAAGGAATGTATAACGCATAATTGTTACCACTGGAATAGAAATAGCAAAATTATTGAATACATTTAATCATAGTATTTGAAATTGACTGATACAACTCAGAAATGAAAATAGTATAACACTTAGGAATTAATAATCTACATTATTCTTTTCTCTGTTTTTTGACATTGCGATTACTGTAATATTATTATCATATTGTTTTCCAGCTGTGATATACATTGTTCCTACTGATCTTCAAAATATATTTAATCTTACTTCAGTTACAATGTATTCAATCGTTTATCCAGAATATACAAAAGTCGCTGCACAAATAAGAGAAAATGGGGTAAAGACGTTTTTGATTTTGAGAAGCGAGACCACACGATAAACTTCAGTTTTGAACAACGATTAAAGTCTATAAAAGATCGGCGCGCCGCGATAATAAAACTGAGACACCGCGCACTTTTACGACTGCAGATCATAAATCGACAAAGTGGTGATCGTTAAGTATGCCTTCGACGGAGACGCTTCAGTCGACTGCTAAATGAAAACTTGAAAAGTTGTCCCTCCTCCTCGCCGCAAGAAAGCATACTTCGTCGGGTCGTAACACGGACTTCGTGGGCCGTCTGTTTTATAGTTTTTCTCGCTGTACCGGTATTCCGTCGAATCCGAAAGTTCCTGGGAGTTCCGGCCATCGTTTTCCGACCCGTAACCCTTTCGCGTAATTTCTTGGGGTTTGGCTTCTGTTTTCGTAACGACCGCCCGCGGCAAAATGCGAAACCGTCCTGTTGTATCGGGGGAAGTGTCTGTATTACCGTCGACAAACTTTCGCCCTAAACATTTTATTCCTTAATTTTCTCCTCGGAGCTAATATCGAGCAAACGTTGATTACGTTTGGCCCACGGAGAATTTCTAAACAATTCTCTGACAACTAAGGAAACAAACTAGTACTTTCATCGATCATATTTCCACAAAATATAATTAGAAATTTCGTTACAATAGAATTATACGTTCTACGTTCGGAACGAAACAATAATTTTTACACAAAAGTGCACACGCGTAAGATCACTTTCGCCTTTCATTTTTACCTTCCAAATTTATTACACAGAATTTCTGCACAATTGAAATTCTCAGGTCTGCGCTGACATTATATTTTACAAAACATTTCCACTGGCATCACATTTTTCTGCAACTTTATTGTAACCGATAGATAGAATTTCGCGGAAGGGGTACGTGTGATGCAAAATACAGGAATGGAAGACGCAATGGCTGTCGAAGTATACGGCCCCGTAAAAACGTTACTCCGCATGAATTCTTCTCTCGAAGGAGAAACGGTTACGCGGCAAATGCGCGGGAGGAAACAAAAAGGGAGGGTCGTAAATTACACCGGTCTGGAGAACTGATCTTTTAATTTCTCGTCGCTTCCTCTGGCACAAGGGAACGCTGCTCGGGCCGCCGCGACTTCCACCGACACGGTGTTGATTTTTAGCCGGGGCTGAAAGAGCCCGGAACATCGCGGCGGATTTGCATCTTAATTTGCTTGATTGTGTTTAAAGAGCAAATCGTTCGGCGGGAATCTTCGCGCGGAATTTCATCAACGCGGGAATCTTACTCAGCGGTAGTTTCCATTGAAATTACTGTTTCGCCAGCCCCGACACGGAATTCAATTTTATTTTTACGTGGGACTTTAATATTTCCATAAAATTCAGCGCGGCTGGATTCGGTGTTCAGCTCAGAATTGAATTTGTCTAGGTGCACGTGCCCACGTTAAACACAATTTCTCAATTTTTCAACCGTTCGCTTTTACACCGAAGTGCCGGGACACTTTAATTCTACAATGTTTTATTATTTCACGCGGAAAATTCGATTCCGCGAGACCCTTAAGTTCGAGTGTAATCTGCAATTGGAAAATATTTGCGGCGCTGTGCTGCTTTTCTTATGCTACATTATGCGCGATCTAAATACCAGTTTGGCGTAGAAGTTCTAATATAGTACCAATTCTAATTGATACGAATTCTAATTGATTATAGTTTGTTCTAAAAATTTACTGTGTATCTTTCTTTTTAATTCCTTTTTTCTCACGAAACTACGAAGAACTGTTGGTCAACCGAGTTTCCTGTTTTTCCGTTCCAGAGCCGAATTTTGTGGGATCATACGACATCGGCAGCCACGTGTTCTTTTTCTTCCGCGAAACTGCGGTGGAATACATAAACTGCGGCAAAAGCGTCTACTCCCGTGTGGCGAGAGTTTGCAAAAGAGACACCGGCGGCAAGAATATTTTGTCACAGAATTGGTCGACTTATCTGAAGGCACGGTTGAACTGCTCGATACCTGGCGAATTTCCCTTCTATTTCAACGAGATACGTAAGTAACAAGATCGTCTTTCATCAGTTTTTATTATCTTCGGAACTTGCGATGGATGAAGGATGCCATTTAATGTAAAAAATGATGGAATTTCTCAGTGCATGAAAAACTTGTCAAAATATTGAAATGAAACGAAGAAAACGAAAATCTAATTAATCAAAGAACATCTTCATCATTTAAACCTTATCATTTTATAACTTCATGAATAAATAGAACCTTCTAAGTTTAAACTCGAGATTAACCTTTTGCACTCGAAAGGTCCGTTGCTATAAATATTCGTCATCCTCCAATAAGACATCGATCACATTCTTGACAACCAACTTAAAAAGCCATGTTTCTAATTATGACACATTACCATAGTATTTCAATATTTCATGTATCAACACGTTATATGAAATTTAATATTAAACATCAAATTCTCCAGTTTTGCTGCAGATCTCTTGAGCGCAAAGGGTTGAAAGAACTAACGATTAAAGGTTAATAACATGTATTCAATAGAAAGAGGTAATTATAATTGTGATTTTACTTTTCCAGAGAGCATTTACAAAGTGCCAGGCGACGACACCCACTTTTATGGCACGTTCACAACATCGACGAACGGGTTAATGGGATCGGCAATCTGCTCGTTTCATATCGACGCGATTCAAGAGGCGTTCCGGGGGAAATTCAAAGAACAAGCGACAAGCAGCAGCGCCTGGCTTCCGGTGCTCACTAACAAAGTTCCTGATCCGCGACCTGGCCAGTGCGTGAACGACACTGAGGAGACATTCCCGGACACCGTTTTGAACTTTATACGGTCCCACCCGCTAATGGACTCCGCGATATCGCACGAGAACGAGAAACCTGTGTTCTATAAGCGGGACGTGACGCTCACGCGATTGGTCGTCGATAAATTACGAATCGATTTCGTCGGCCTGGATCTGGATTACACGGTCTACTATGCTGGTTCCAGTGAGTGTTCAAACAGTTCGTTTAAAAGATTTAAATGCCATCGATTCTCGCAGTTGCAATCCCTCGAGTAGAGTGAACATTTTTTTGGGATTACCAGAAAATGAATTTCACATCGGTCGAATCAATTCGATTATAAAAATGACGCTTTTCGTTCAATTATTTTCTGATAAAACTGTGACGCAAACAAAGATCAATAGTAATTTGATAGTTCAAAATACTGAATGTACTTTTAGTACTTGCATTTCGTAACCTTTCTTTGGAAACTAAATTTGGTGTTTGTAAAATGATGAAAAGGCAAGAAATTAGACAAGCAATGTAACGTCTATATTAATTTCATGATTTATTCTCTAATTCTGAGCTTTTATGGAAGATATTGAGTTTGTAATTTCTACGATCCGAGCTAAATTGTCGGAGGGAATTTAATGGGAACTACATGTCTCTGAACTATTTCGCATGGATATCCCAATCCTGATTTGTCACAGACAAACTTGGCAAGATAATCACCAACTTGGTGGTTCTTGCAGTAGACTTGTATCATCTGCTCTCGCTATCGCTGGCATTGTCTCACAGCCGGCGGTCGACCTTCAGCTATTGCCGCAAAAGCTAACATAATCAAGGACAGTACCGTCGTAACGATCGAATATAAGATCAACAGGAACGCGTAAATAGTTGACATTGAATCGTAGATGTTTTACGCGTCAACGTAATAATTCTTGCTTATGCAGCGCACAGCCCTTTAACATCATTTCCATTCTTTAATATTAAATTATACATTAGATTATGCATAACTCGTGGATTTCATATAGCGAATTGCAAAATTTACAACATTTTATGAGAATGAATTCCAGTGACAATTACAGTACAAGAAATTCTGAAAAATATTTTCCAGCTTCATAGATACTATACAGATACATCATATTACATGATGAAATGTAACGCGAAGCATGATCATTATCTGTCCGTCTCCGACAAATTTATTATCCGAAGACTAGCTGGTTCGCAATGTTGTATCGACGTTAATTTGACGGTATCACGACCTGTCAGCTGTCCAAAGTACCAGTTTACAAAGGCATCGTTCCCTCGTGTTACAGGCGACGGACGTGTACACAAGGTAGTTCAATGGATAGACAACAACGGGGATTCCCAGTCTATCCTATTGGACGTTTTTGATGTGACGCCAGGCGAGCCGATCCAGGCGATGGAGATCTCGAAGGAGCACAAGGCCTTGTACGTCGCGTCCGATCATAGAATAAAGCAGATCGACTTGGTAATGTGCACCCGCAGATACGATAATTGCCTACGATGCGTTCACGATCCCTACTGCGGCTGGGACAAGGACACGAACACCTGCAAGCCTTACGAACCCGGGTAAGTGCATCGAGCTTCCGTCGCATACAATTTTAATGAACTATCTAAACTATTTCGATTCTTGGTCACACAAATTCTTGCTTTCAAGTTAGCTTCGATCATGACCTTACTTGAATTGAGTCTTTCGTAATTTATGATCTCGAAGTAACCTAGAAAAATAACACACAAACGAATGAAAAATTGTATTCGAGGTTTCAATAATTCTTCAACAGAACTGAACTTCTCGTTCATTTTTCATAGATCTTTTGTAAATTCTTTATTTCTTGTTACGCGTTCAAAGAGAAATTTGTGAATTTTTAAATGATTGTTTATTACATTACATTATTTTTATATTATGATTATTTACTTGTTTTTTTACAGACTTCTTCAGGACGTGTCGAACAGCACGGCCGATGTATGCGACAGCAGCGTAGGCAAGCGGAAGTTAGTAGTCACCTGGGGACAGTCGGTGCATCTCGGCTGCTTCGTGAAGATGCCAGAAGTGTTGGCGAATCAGGAAGTAAGATGGTACCATTACAGCAAGGAGAAGGGCAGGTACCAGATAGCGTACAAGTACGGTGCTGGAGGGGACAAATTCATCGAGACGTCCGAAAAGGGCTTGGTGATCGTGGGCGTGAACGAACAAGACGCGGGAAGATACGATTGTTGGCTCGGTGGCTCGTTGCTGTGCTCGTACAACATTACCGTGGACGCCCACAGATGTTCCGCGCCCGCCAAGTCGAACGATTATCAGAAGATATACTCGGACTGGTGCCACGAATTCGAGAAATACAAGTCCGCCATGAAAAGCTGGGAGAGGAAGCAAGCGGTGAGTCGACATCCATGAAACATAAACTTGATTCTCTTCCTGCGAAGAATTTCGTTTGAGAAGCTTTTCATCTCCTTTGATTCATAATGTCCAGTGAGATTGAGCTTGAAAGACACGAATATTATTTATTTCTTCCTTTACTCTACTTTAAAATAACATAAATAGTCTATTATTTATTTCATACGAAAATAAAACGTTTGTCCAAATTCATAGTCGTTTTAGTGTCTCTTAAAGAAAATACTATTTCCAAGTATTAACTGATTCCAACGAACAAGATACTTTATTTTAAAAATCGTATCGAATATCGCACATCAAATGAAATCGATAATATGCTTCCATTCGAAACAATATTTCGGGCCGTTTGAGGAACCCCGTCGACTCCGTCTGTTCCAGCAATGCGCCTCGAGGCAGAACGACAGCAATCAGAATCTGCACATGAATGAGGTGTACGGGACCCCCTTGGTCTGATGGAGCCGATCGTTGGAGCCCTCGTCGAGCCAAGACCCCGGCGCGGTGTTGCGTGCAAGCGTCCTGCCGAAGAATCGCGGTCCATCCACGATCAGTCGGACGAGCCTCACTCTCCTACTGACCGGTTACACCACTGCCTTCGTCCTTCTTGCTACCGACGGGCTTTCGACCAAGTGAAGATCGACACGCGTATACACACACGTCCGCATCAAAAGACAAGCCGGCTGAACTGTACGTCCTCAACAGACGAGAATCCTCTCGTTCACCATGGCGTCCATCCACGATCGATCGAACGAGCCTCTCGCGATCCCTATCGCTCGTTCAAAAACTTCGCCTCGAACCCGCTTGTTCATCAACAAACGTTTCTCGAGTCTCGATTGCCAAGGAGGACTTATAATTAATATAATCGCGCGATCTCTTTGAGCTACTGTCGCGGCGATCGAGGGGCAACCGTTTACGCGCGCGTTTCATCGCCGACGAAAACGATTGCTATTGCCCGCTGTCTTCTGTTCGGCGCAAATGGTGATCGCGCATAGTCTATCCGCGGTTCCAGGTCCATTTTCGTTTACCCGTGCCTCCCACCCACGACACGCTTCTCCTTTCTGTAAATAGCCCGACGCCGTGACGCGTAACGGCGACGAGGATCGCGGTCTTGTTTAGATCGCAATCCTCTCGAGGTCGCGACGAGGATCGCCCGGCGGAAAGTCCGCTTAAACGGTGGACGGGACACGGCGACAAGATGGCCGTCCGTGCGGACCCTAGGCGATTCAGCTCCTAACGGCGTCGTTCCCGTAAAACTCGACCTGGGATCGAACGATCGAACTTTTGGGCGAATTAGAATGATGGGTCGCTGTACCGACGTCTCGGTGACCGGCGAATCGTGGCTCGGAGCCGAGGACGACCGTTCGCCAAACGGAAATCGGTTCTTCTGTTTCCATGGATCTGTGATACGAACGACGGGACGAGATTCTCGAGCGAGCGTGCTCGGTTGGCCGCCATTGCCCGAGCGAGAGCAGCTGCGCCAGCGATCGGTGAGGAAGTAAATGCATGTACGGTCGGGCTTCAATGGTCTGAATCGCTTGGCTTGGAATTTTGTCAGTGAGCCACGCGCGTCTATTTCAGTTTTCGATATTTGCGGGGAACGTTTGGTAAGTGACATGTCTTAGTTTTTGTGCAACTTTGATGATTTGTTTATTGGCGATACTTTTTATTTGAAGAGAAACCACTGCTTTGTCGATACAAAAATATACGAAGCTAGATGTTACATCTGGCATCGGAAAAAAAAAATAAAAGTACCATTACACCAATTTTTTTCTACAGGTAGTATATAAATCTTCATAAGCACCAGAAAATGTCTGTGAAAATGTTTTAATATTTACTTTGCATAAAGAAGTGTGTTCACTCTGTTAAAATATAAAAATTGTCGTAACCAAAAGCAACAAAATCTTGGAATCGTTCCAATAAATAATTATATAAAATTACATAAAAATCAGTCTACGTAACTGATCGTTCCTCATCAGTCGAGAACAACCGTCGATAAAGTAACAAATCTGTTATTTTTGCAATTACAATAGAGCGAAAAATGCATCGTGTAGAATAGAAACGACTAGTGACAGATGCGCAATTTATTTTCAAACAGAAATTTCGATTACGCGCGAAGAGAAAACGTTGTTCCAAGCCAAGTGGTTTAGCCGGATGATGATCGTGATGACGACGACTTGCACTGAGCCAGAGAGGGTGTGTAAAGTGTACCGTGTAAAATCGACTCGCCGGATGGGAAGAATGGTATTTACACACGCCAGGTGAGAGAAAACGCGGCGTCGACGCGTTTTCGAAACGTCACGCAGGTTACATTTGAGATTATTATCGGCTACCTACCTGGTCGCGGGACCGCGACCATTTTTTTAGCTTCGTTAGCTTGTTTCATATCACGTTGCCAGGCTCGCGATGCGCACCGCCATCTGTCTTCGACTCGCACGATTCCTTTCTCATCGCGATTCGACCAACGCTCGTTTCTCAGCCGTCGCGGTTAAATACTTTCCTTGTGTCACGATCGACCGCTAACCGATCGTGGCATTCTGTTCCTAACCCGTAGGTTAACATATCGCGGCCCGTTCGCAGTGGTCCGTTGAAGTTTCTACGGAATCAGTGAGTTTCTTTCAACTCGCGAGTGATTCGTGTATTTGGCACTAGATTCACGACCATTAGTTAACATTCATTGTCTTATCTACCAGAAAATAAGAATAGCAGAGGATGGGGAGATTCATATCATCGTATTAATGAAAAAATTAATTTAAATTGAAAATTTGGAAATTGTCAGGCATTTGATATTTATTAAACTGATGAGGTCCGTGGATTTAATGTTGAAGACACGATTATCGATGGTTTGTTTCCTTCGTTTCGTCATTCTAGATGGACTGATCGATTATATTATTTGTGTAGTAAGTAAAACGTCAGAGCAGGAGATAGTGATTTTTAAGAGAGACTTGATCATTTAGATTTTATAAGGTGTACAGTATATGTTCGTGACGACTGTTCCACTGAGCAGTAGCATAGGTAAGCTTTTATATTCAATTGACGCGTATTGGTAATTTTAGTGTTGTAAGTAGAATTTTAGGCACGGTTTAGTTTTCGTTTGTTTAGTTTTATCGAGTTAGAAAACTTAATGCATTTGTCGAAGAAAGGAATTCGAATGTTTAATGTAGTGTTTTGCAGTAATCGAGAAAGAAGCTATTTAATTGTTGAAATAAATCACTTCTGGAATCAGTTCAATTCGATGAAAAATTTAGATTCCAATCATGTTCAATTTTTTACTTGTATAATTTCTAACCACAATTTTTTAATTTGATGTGTTTGTTTTATTAAATTGTTTACGAGTACCAGGGATATTTACCTTTAATGTTTTATTTCCGTGCATGTTGTTACAAATGTATTACTACGTCACAAATGAGAAAGAGAAGAGTTTTAATTATTTCACATCGAATCAAAGCTGATCTTTCGGATGGATCTATTTTTTCCACCGAGGACGTTTTCATAGGTACCACTGCGACCGAGCTATCATTAGCGAAACGCCGTAACTAGTAAAACACTGCCCAATATCACTATTGCCATTATCATCGTCATAAACTCTAAAGGTGCTACGCAGGTGCGTTCGATGCGTGCTGAAAATTGGTAAGGCCTATAATCCTGAAACATTCACACCACTTTCCTTAATCCCATAGACACATTCTCAATTCGCGAATACGAATACGTACATTTATAGAAACGTAGTAAGAGCCAGAAATAAGTATACACCTTTACAATATTTTCTAATAATTTTCAGCACTTCTTCTATTATGTTTTTCACAAATATTAACATTATCTGTTTCATTGATTTGTTACTATACAATTCTTGTTTGCGTAATAAATTTTATTTCTTTATCATTTAATTTCCTAACATTGAATTCACCATTTTCAATACAAAGATAGATTTTTATCATGTACACTGTCGATGGTCGCCATAAAAAGTTTCTAAGTCGGCAAATTTGTCAGAACTTTTCCACTGACGTATTTGTAATAACAATAAATAAATTATTTGACAGGAATATAGAAAAAGGTAAAGAAGTCAAATATATAAACCTATACGCTCATTCTTCTCAATCCATAAATCGCGGACAATTTGTAAGTAGTCAGACACTTACCGTTATCAGTGCACATACATAAAAGTTCTAGCATTACAATTATAGAAATTAATTTGAGGTGTATACTTATATTCGATTCCGAGTGCACGCGAAAATACGCGAATTCGTCCGACACGAATGCTCGTCAGTCTCGTCGAATTTCACTGACTCGAATTCAAAAGAAAATGGAGAAAAATGGAAGAAAAAGGATGTAAAGGTTTCTTGCATATACCTCTGAGCCTAGAACATTATATCTCCGTTTGCTTGGCCGTTTCCGTTCGGCCGTACTGCGAACCTCGCCCGGCGTACCGAAACGATCAAGCGAACCGGCCGTGAATCGCGGGTCAACTGGGCAGACGATCGGTTCGAGTCGAAGTTAAGCTTCGACGAAGGGGCTGAAACGTCGGCGATCACTCTCCAATGCGTTATTACCGACGTTCCTCTGAGCCACGCGACGAGCACATGTTGTTCGGCGACGAACCGTCGGGAATCGTTTCTCTTCCGGTCCGGGAACGTCTGTGTGTACATAGGATCGCGATAGCGCATGGTATTTTTATAAACAAAAGGATACGAGGAAGACTAAGAAGAAAAAAAAGAAAAAGGAAACGAGGGAAAAAGGACGAACGAAAATTCTTTCCGGAGCGACGCAAAAGAAAGAAAAAAAAGAAAGAAACCGTGAACGCGAGAGACTCCCGAGTTTTTCATTTTTCACCTCACCGTTTTTTCCCCTTTTGTTAATCAAATCTCTTTGGTTCCCCGCGATATTTTTCAAGTATTTCTGTCGTAACTCGTACACATAGAACCGTTAGTTTAAACCTACTTTTTAAACAGCGTAGAGCAAGGAGATGGATGCTTACCGGTGCTGTATTAAACAATCCGTAGGGCGGTCGCTCTCGGGCGACTCGGCTCGTCATGATTAAATAGACGTACGTGTAGGCTATAAAGTATATATATACATTGTAGTATAAATACATATTCGTTATATATATACATTATAGAGTGTGTAAGTAGAACGGTCGGCGCTCGGCGTCTCTGTGAAATCGGAACGTGAAGTCGCGAAGACAGTGAACGAGAAGCCGCGTCGGTGATAGATTTCGCTCTTTTCGCCCTTCGGTTTGTACATAGGAAACAAAAAAAAGAGGAAAAAAAGAAAAGAAAGGAAACGGAAGGAAAAGACGTTCACGGCACGGCAGCGTGGCCCGCGAGCGGCCGCCATCTTGTCGGCGGCCGGACGCGGCGCGCGGGTCGGGCCACCAAGTAATAACACTCGATCGCGATCCGCGGACCGTTAGTTATTCTTGTACAGAGATTTCGATACACCGAATTCGACGATTTTCTGTTCTGTATTTATCGCGTCGACGGCGTACAAAGGTAAACAACACTGTCAGATAGTGAACGAGTGACTGCGTGCGTCGCGTGAATGGGAACAGAGAGCACGGGCGGATAAATTACATTATACGAGACGAGAATGACCGAGAGAAAGTTGGGAAGTGTGATCGTTAGGTGCGTAAGGTTAACACAATAATCGGTAACTTAATCCTCAAATATGTACTTATTATGAGCTTCAACAAGTATTGAATAGTATTACGTGGTAAGGTTTAAGGTTTAAGGTAATTGGACTGTAAGACGCGAATCGCATTGCGTCGCGAGCGCGCGAATCATCGACGCGGATCCGGATCGGACAGGCGTTTCAGCAGCGATCTCGGCGATCCGCGTCAGATCAACTCACGAGAGAATTATTCCAGGAGCGACAGATGCGAATGCCTGCGATGAATCGGGATATGCTAGTGTCGGGATGTGCGTGTGTCATGGTGGAACGATACGTAAGGGAATGAGAGGGAGAGAGAAAGGAAACAAAAGGGGGAATAGCAGTAAAAACCTATCTATCGTTTGAAGAAAGTTATTAGGTGAGGTAACGAGTAAAATGGCGGACGTATTATTATGAGCGTAAAGGGGTAAAAAAAGAAGAGGACAAAGACATAAACGAACACTACGGTAGTAATGATCTTTGGCCAGGAGTCTTGAGTGTACGCGTCGACGGCTGCCGGGAGAACACGGACGGGCGCCGATCGAGATTAAACGAAAAAGAGTTTTACGAGTTGAATTTTATGAGACTGCTCGTTTGATGAAAACGATCGTCGCATTGGCGCCCGCGTACCTGTTTCGCGGCCTCGACGAATGCACGTCCAGCCTCTCGAGACAGAGTTGGAGTGATCACGGAAAGCAATCTAAGATGAACCTAACGTTGTTAGATATATTATTTGTAAGATTATCGGAGTACTGTATATTGTGTGGACACGATCGCAACCGCGGGAATCGGATCGCTGGACTGGGCAGCAGGGGTGGAAACGATTCGAAACAATCGAAAGGTAAAGCGACTTGAGCCGGTTCGTTCGATCTGGCGTTCAACAATGGTTCGAGAATCGATTAACAAACGTTAATGCGGTTACGGCTCGGGGACCATCGAGTTCGTTAGACTCATAGATCGATCGGTACCCGCGGCGGCGATCGTGCGAGCCAGATAGGTTATAGATCGATTTAGTGTACGCTGTACGTGAGCAGAGAGAAAAAGAGAGAGTGAGTGAGTGAGTGAATGAGAGAGGGGGAGAGAGAGAAAGAGAGAGAGAGAGAGG